GAGTTTTTCCTCTCCACTGTCACTACAAGCATGCTTAGTGTGAGGGATTGCTGAAGAGTCAATGATTTAATGCGATCACCTGGTTTTCCTTAGATAGAAAACTTTGAATCAATGTGAACTGGAAAGTGCCTTGAGATGACGTGTTATAAATTGGCGCAATAGAAATAAACTGAATTAAATTGACAGCCAACGTGAGCTGTGTGTTTCGCTCATTCTTCTCAGAGTGAACGTTGCCCTCGTTCACGTTCATTACTTCAAATCTGATCCGTTCAGTTCATCGCTCACTAAAAATAGGAGCGTATTCAGTGAAACAAACATGGAAACATTTAGCAGTGAATCTTCTCCATCATTAAAGAGCTTCATTCTCATTTCGACTCCGCTGCTCACAGAAAACACACATGCATGTTTGTATCATAAGGAAACAGGAACTTGGAATACGGCTTTATGCTAACCAGCTCTTGCCTTTTTTCTAATCGATTGGTTGATTGGCTTTATTGATCTAAGTGGAGAAATTTACTCGTTACATCAACTCAAATAGTCAAAGGAGAAGAAGAATGTGCCAAATCAAGAAAAAGATGCAGGGAATATATACGATATAAACACTGCATCCATATAGCTTTTTACAGTTAAAAAAAATCCCATATGAAGAAGTTCTACAGTTTTCCTTCTAAAGTGTGGGCTGTAACCTGATGGTGCCAGAAGGACCTAAACATCATGTCCCAGAGATGTTCTGTTTGATTTGGGTCAGAGGAGCCCATCCACTGGTGTCATGTCCCACACCCTCCAGGAATGGCCTGCATGCTCTGCCACGTGACACTGGGCCTCATCGTCCTCCAGGAACCAGAGAGTCTGATAACCGATCCTGAGGAAGGAAAACCTTCTCCTCAGCCTCTCTGGACACTTTTTTATGTCCGTCACATGAACTCTGCGGGATCCAGCTATCCACTCATTGATGGAGCTGCAATTCCTCCACATTCAACTTGGTTCAATTCATTTCAGTTCAATTCAGTTTATTTCTATAACGACAATTCACATCATGTCATCTGAAGGCACTTTCCAGTTCACCAGATCATCCAGTCAGATTGATTCAAAGTTTTCCATCCAAGGAAAACCAGTTGATTGCATCAACTCATTGACTTTTCAGCAATCCCTCACACTAAAGGCTGATTTATACTTCGAAACTAGGTCGTCTGCGTAGGTGTCGCAGTGAACGCGGAGAAGTCCCAGCCCCCTCCGCAGACACTCTGCTGCACCTCTCCAAAATTGTAGGTGAGTGCAGACAGGAGGCCTCTGATTGGTCAGATCTACATCCGCTCCACTCTATGCATATTTCCTGTTTGGTACCTAACCGGATTGTTTTATTTGTGTGACCGCCATTCTGGAAAACAACTGTTGAAGATGAACCAGCTAAAAGAGCGAAGTGAGCGAGAACGCTGGGACCTTTCTCCACCTGGATCCTCGCTCTTTTTCACCCTCATGTCCCTCCGTTGTCGCACAAACTTGCCCCCACTTCCTCACCGCCTCGGCCGCATCTAGACCCACAGCTGATTCCTGATTGGCCCTCTGGCGTTGTGGTGTGGAATAACGTAGCACAGACCAAGGTTCAATATTGGGCATAAATCAAAAATATCTGCGACACACTGCTGCGGGACGATAACCAGGCCTTAGCACATGCTTGTAGCGACAGTGGAGAGGAAAAACTCCTTTTTAACAGGAAGAAACCTCCAGCAGAACCAGGCTCAGTGTGAGCGGCCATCTGCTGAGGCCCACTGGGGTTCAAGGAGACAGAAGCAGACATAGAAAAAGCAGATATAAAAAGCGGCCTCATCCAGGAAACACACAGCCAGGCAAACG